GAGGGGGCTGAGAAAAAAACACTGCCCTTATGTGCAAGCATCGTAGGGTACAAACAACTGTCAACATTATGCAAGACTGAGGTGTAAATTCATTTCCCAAGCAAATGGACTACTTTTGCATAAACAGAGCAGCCACTATTCAACATGGTGCCATTGATACTGGTCTTGCTGTGGTCTTTCTTCAAAATACACAATCTGTTGTGTTTCCATCAAATTACTGATAACATGTCAAGCAACATACGCCCAAATTGAAAAAGAATATCTAAACATCTTATTGACTTCTGTCAGTTTTGTATGTCATTACTGTAAGCTTCAAATTGCTTCCAGCATATCCTACTTAACTAGAACATTATCCCTTGTATGTACAATACAAAACAGGAACTGGCTGGTTTTCCTATAGACAACATTGCCACAGGACACACAGACAGATATATTTATAAATCACTCCAAGAGAAACTAAAAGGGTTAAAGCAATCACAACCCTTCCTCTCAGAAAGGACTTGAAAATGTTCATGAAGGCACACTTTCATGATATGAGCTACAGTTTCTGACATGTTTAGTACATATTCTGATGTGTATAAAAAGCCCCCAATGTCAAACTGAGAGTTCTGGAATTGTTACAATGAACTGAACATCCAAGATGGAATCATATTTAAATTGACATCAAATCTTTGTATAAAAGCAATGATAACAGAAATATTAGTGTAGTCACATCAGGACAGAAGAAAAGCTAGAACTGGCCAAATATTATTAATGAAGTCCACACACATTAAATTTTATTTATTTATTTATTTTGGATTTATATCCCACCCTCCCCTTAACGGGCTCAGGGCAGGTTCCAACAATATTAAAGAGTCTATGATGCATATAGAGACTCATCATTCTGTTATTAGAAGATACTATATGAAATCACTGGAAGATATTACCAGTTAGACTGAACATAAACATAGTAAAGATAAGCCTAAAACTAAAGATGGTAAAGATTCACCAGTGACACACACCAGAGAATCTGAACACACTGCATTAATCCAGTCTAGATATCCTAAATGGATTAGATGGCATACAGGACCATTCTAACACTTGCCTTTTGTGATACAATTTCACAAGCCACTTCACATGCAGAACAGGAAGGTTCAGCAACACACACAACCACCAGAGGTGAGGATTATGATAAACAAAATGCAACTGCATTTAGCAACACCGCTAACAATAACATAAGAACATAAGAAACGCCAATGTTGGATCAGGCCAAAGGCCTATCCAGTCCAACACTCTGTGTCACACAGTGGCCAGAAATACCAGTGCCATCAGGAGGTCCACCAGTGGGGCCAGGATAAAATGTCCCTGCAGACATCTCAAATCATTGTACAGTATGAAGACCATGGTTCTAGGAAAAAAGCCCACAGGGAAAAACCCCACGGAAAAAAAAACCCATGGTCATAAATGCTCACAGGAAAAATGCCCACATAGAAAAAAGCCCACGTGGAAAAATGTATATGGGCTTTTTTCCATGTGGGCTTATTTCCATGTGGGCTTTTTTCCTGTGAGAATTTATGACTGGGGTTTTTTCTGTGGGCTTTTTTCCTGTGGGGGTTTTTCCAGTCACCAAAGACCACGTGATGAATTTATATTACAAAATTTACATTCTGCCTTTCTGCCCTCACAAGGGCCACCAAAACAGCTAACAAATAAAAACAAACATTTTTAAAAATCACCTTTTAAAACCATTAAATCCAACCAACCCCTCCCCACACATTTTACATCAATTAAAAACAGAGCTAAAATACAAAGACATAAAAAACAATGAAACATAAGAACATAAAAGAAGCCAATGTTGGATCAGGCCAAAGGCCCATCCAGTCCAACACTCTATCACACAGTGGCCAAAAATACCAGGTGTCATCAGGAGGTCCACCAGTGGGGCCAGGACACTAGAAGCCCACCCATTGTTGCCCCCTCCGACACCAAAAATACAGAGCATCACTTGCCCCAGACTGAGAATTCCTATCTATACTTTGTGGCTAATAGCAGTGAATTCCATGTGTTAATCACTCTTTGGGTGGACAGAACATTGTTCCCTAGGCTGCTCATTTTATCATCACATCCTAATCACTGCATCACTAATTTGATGTATTCAGTTCAAAGTATAAATTGTTTTGAGAAACTGCACAGTTCTCATAGTTACATTGTTTAATTACACATTCTTTAACAAACATGGCATTAGACTGTTATGCTAAACAATCCTCTCAACTACAGGGGGAACCACACCAAAGACTTTGCCTGACTTGTACAATAAGAAGGAATGGGATACACAGCTCCAGATCATGTCAACAAACTGAGGGTGGAGTGATAGCAGCAGCCCAAAGAATGTGCAATGCAGCATACTCAATAAAGTCTTTGTGTTTTCCTGAGTAATCAGGGTTGTATTTGACCACCTTGCTAGATTCCATGCTTTCAGTAGTGCACACACTCCCACAAGAGAAAAATTAGCACTATGAACAGAAATGATTTGGGGATTTATGTTGCTTCTCATCCAAAGGCAAGTCTTGGCCAAAGAACTGTACTCCTGAAAACCACATAACTAACTGGCTCAAGCAGGAAAAATACCACCCAAACTTGGATTATTTCCCTTTTAACCTCCAACTAGGTTAAGGCTATGTTGCACAGAAAATCTAATAACAGTACTGCTCCAATTGCTATGGCTGAATGTTATAATTAAGACTGGAGACAGACAATGGAGTTTGTTTTTCAGAACTCTCAAGATGGTATGACCACTGTGTCCTGTATATAGAGGGGAGGGGCTGTGGCAGACCTACTTTGCACGAAGAAGGTCTCAGGTTAAATCCCCAGTAAAAAAAGCATAAAGTATTATAATGGTGATGTGAAAGACCTCTACCTGAGGCCCTGGAGAGCCACCGGCAGTCAGAGTAGACAATAATGACCTTGCTAGACCCAATGGTCTGATTCAATACAGGGCAGTTCATGTGTCAATGTACTAGTTTTTTAAAAAACAACAGCCTGAGAAAAGATGAACCAAGCAGTTTTAGCATGCAGATTTCTTCAGTGGGTTGTAAATAATAGGTGCACATTGGATGCAGATGCGTATTTGGCATTGTCATCCAGCTAGACTTCAGGAACCTAGTATGGTCCAATGAGGATGAGGCACTGTGGGTGGCTGTGCATTTCTGTCTCCAAAAACTCTTAGCCACACACTTAGCTAACTGGTTACATATATCTTCTGACTTAAAATGGAAAGGAACAAAGCAAAATATTTAATTTTACTCTGTGTACTGAAATAATTTGTATTTTTCTAGGTCTGGTAGTTGGAGCGATTACTGTTTGTGTAATCCTACCTCACAGGATTGTTGTAAGGATAAAATGGAGAACAGTACAAGAATGTAAGTCATTCTGGGTTCCCACTGGGGAGAAAGGTCAGGTATAAATGAAGTAAACAAGTAAACTCCTGTGATGGACATGCATTAGCTTTCTATTGAGTGTGTATCTAAATCTTATGTTGATGTTAGGATGATTAACATAGTATGAAAATGTTTTAGGAAGTTTTTATATATTCATAATAATAATAAAATATTAAGGATAAAGGGATTTTTAAGCCAACATGTGTCACTTGTAAATATAAAAATGTCATCTGTGTGTCTGAGTGTGTAAAGTGCTAT